TTGTCAGTAATTTCTCATGATCAGAGTCGTTCCCTTATTTGTGATTTTACTACGTCAGAACTGTCTCGGCGAGTTATTTGTATCTACGCTCCAAACAAGGTGAAAGAACGAGACCTTTGCTTTAGTTATCTTCGCCCATACTTAGACTGTGACCGCATGGTTGTCTTCTTTGGAGATTTCAATTCTGTCTGCAACGCTTCAGATAGGTCGACGCAAAGAAATGTCAATGACAGTAGCGCGAATCTGTGAAGCGAGATAATAGATGAGTACGATACGATAGATGCAGCGGGAATTAATGCAAAAGGAAGACAACTACAGTACACGCATTTCCAGGCATCCACACATTCGCGTCTTGATAGAATTTACGTGTCATTTGATTTAATAAGTAATTTTCAAAAGTACGAAGTGAAGTCTCTTCATTTCACCGACCATTGCTTGGTAACTGCTACATTTGGGAGCAGAGCCCCTAAAACAAATAATTTTACTTGGGAACTCTGGAAGCTCAAAGCCAAGCTTCTAAAAGTTGAGCAGTTTGTTTCCAGCGTAAATGCACTATCTGAAGAATATACTGTAGCAAATGACCTCTCTTTACAGACAAGATGGTTGTACTTTAAAGAGGAACTTAAGCAAGTGGCAGTTGAACGATCAAGCAGTATAGAACTTAAAGCAACTGCTAGAAAGAGGCAACTGAATCGAGACTCACGCATACTTCACGAAACGGAAAGTGAGAACCCCGGCCGGCCATGGGTTAAAGGCCATCCAGTTCGTGAAGTCGGAGATTGAACTTTTGCAGAGAGAACGCTACAAAGCCGCGGTTGTACGTTCTCGAAATAACAAATTTATTTTAGGGGACCAACCTACCAAACGATCTTTGGCTTCCGAAAAAAAGTATGCCCTAGCAAATGATATTTATAATATTCAATTGAACGATCAGATCAAGACTGATTCCAGCAGCATTGAAAAGGCCTTTGTTCATTACTATACCGAGCTTTTTGGGAAAAAGATACCACATAGTGGCTCGATGGGCCTGATTAATTTGCTGATGCATGTTCCCCAATTGCAGAACGATATAACGGAATGGCTTTAAGAACCAATCACGCTAGGAGAAATACAAAACGGTGTTGACGAGCTACCCAGTCACAAGGCGCCAGGACCTCATGGAATTACGTCGGAAGTCTACAAAACATTCAAAACCGTAGTTGTACTGTACTGTTTGACGTATTACGCGAGGCATACGCCGTGGAAGAGCTTCCTCCATTCCTTTTAAAAACACACACCATCCGAACTGCCAAGTGAGAAGACCCTGTAGAACTACGCTGTGTTACCAACTATCGGCCGATCACATTATGTAATAGGGATTACAAGATATTCACGAAAATTCTAACGAAAAGGCTTCAACATGTAACTGTTCAAATTGTCGGGGAACACCAAACGTGTGGCATATTTTATTATTCATTCATACTGCTCGCCTTTTTCAAGGTTTTCGCAGAAGTGGTACAACATAAATTCAAATATACAATGCTCGGTTACATAAAATCAACACCGTTGGCAGTGCCCCACAGCACGGCAGCACTAAATACAAGCATGAATTCACACCAAACTAAATACAAGCAAAAGATAAACGTGAAAATGCAGTTATTTCAAGATTAGAACACGATCGGAATCACACATATGAAGGAACAGCAAGGCAAACGTGCAAAAAGGTTTTGACAGAATCATATCTACTAGGTTCGCGACAAAAACCGTGACAACGAACCCCGTCGACCACGCTGGCCAGCAATGACTCGCAAGACAAAGAAAAAAAGGAAAGAAACAAACAAAGAAAGCACGCAGCAAGGTTTAAAACAAGATCGTCTATTTAATTTGTAATAGAAATTGTAATAAAGAAACGCTCTCGACCACGTCAGCTGGCAAGGACTTCCACTCGCGGATAGTGCGTGGAAAAAACGAATGAAGGAGTGCATTGTTTTTAGCAGAAATTTCTTTGATTGGCAGTCGATGTGATCTCCTTGTGGCCCGTGGTTGCAAGAAAGAAATATAATTGCTTTTGTTCATTTTTAGGCTGTCGTTCGCAATAAGGTATAAAACTTTTAATCTGTCCTTCCGGCGTCTTGGTTCCAGCCATTCAAGGTTAGCACCTGCTAAGAGCTGGCTTGGTGATACTGACCAGCTGTAGTTGTTGTAAATTAATCTAATTGCCTTTCTTTGTATTTTCTCCAGCTTCGTTATGTTTACCTCCGTGTGTGGATCCCATACCACGGCAGCGTATTCAAGAATAGGCCGTACGTAAGTTTTGTAGGCAATCAATTTTGCTGATACGCTAGAGTGACCCAGGGACCGTCTTAGATAGCCTAGCTTTTGGTACGCGCGATTTACAATGTAGTCGATGTGGCTGTTCCACCGCATATCGGATGATATGATGACTCCCAAGTATTTAAAAGATTTCACTTTCGGAAACGGTGCGCCATCTATCTTGTAGGGAAATTGTGAAATGTTTTTCTTTTTTCGCTTGATGGTCATACTTACGGACTTTGTTGCGTTGAATGTCATCTGCCACGTTTTGCACCACTGATTAATTTTTTCAGGGGAATTTTCAATAACGAGATGATCTTTAGGAGTACTAACTTCTTTATAAAGGATGCAGTCGTCTGCAAAGGGATTAATCTGGACTGGAATGTCGTTTAGGACATCATTAATAAATACGAGAAACATTAGGGGCCCGAGAACAGATCCCTGCGGTACCCCAGAGTCAACAGAAACGGAATCAGAGAATGTACCATCAATTACAGCGACTTGGCGACGGGACGATAGATAGTCACTAATCCAGTTCGTGATCGCGTGGTTTCTTAAAATTTATTTTAGTTTTATTAATAGCTTAGGGTGCGAAACTTTATCGAAGGCTTTTGAAAAATCCAGGAGGACTACGTCCACTTGACCACGCCGGTTTAAAACTTCTGAAAAGTAGTGTGTAGTTTCCACCAACTGTGTAGAAGTAGAGAGGGCTCTGCGGAAGCCATGTTGCCTGGGATGAAGCAAGTTATTTGATATTAAAAGGAAGAACAATCCAGTCAAATATTCATATTGCAAGAAGTGTTTTGGGATGTTGCTCAGATGAAATGGAACAGGTTGCCATGCTACAGATAGATCTCGAAAATGCATTTGATAGAGTTAATCACAACTTTCTTTGGCTGGTGTTGACACACGACGGGGTGAGAAAAGTTAATTTGATGGAGTCAGAATGGCCTATAGAGGATGCTCATCGAAGCTTATTGTAAACCATAATCTCACTACACGTATCCCAATGTTGCCTTCTGTCCGACAAGGATGCCCACTCTCACCATTATTATTTGCCCTTTATCTGGAACCTTTTTTATTTCAGCCTCATTAAAAGTGAGAACGTCCGAGGTTATAAGTTAAACTCTGTAGAAATTAAAGTCCTTGCGTACGCTGATAACGTTACTATATTTTGTTGTGACAAAAAAAGTGTAACTGAAGGAGTTGCTTTAACCAAGATCTTTTGCAAAGAAAGTGGAGCTGCAGTGAACTGGAGAAAATGCACTGGGTGTTGGCATGGTCCATGGGCGACGAAGCCCTTAGAATATGAAGGCATCGAGTGGAGTAAGGAACCTTGTAAAATATCTCGGAGCACCACTTCATCAATTTCGCAACAGCTCGTCTTACTGGTCTGATGTTACTAGCGATTTGAAAAAACGTGTGTCCCCATGGCCTTCTCGTGATATGTCCAGTTTTGCAAGACATTTTTCTGATTGCGAAGATTATGTATGTGCTGCAAATACTACATTGTACCCGCATAAATGTTAAAAAAATTCACAGGGTGTGTGCTTTGTTTATTTGGAAGTTCGGATCAGAGCCGATGAGACGAGATAACCTTTTTGACGCCTTTCACTTGGTGGCATCGGCTTACCACACCTCTCTGTTAGACAACTTGTGTCACGGTTTTTCTTTCTACGTGATCGCCACCTTGGTGGCTCCGAGGCGAGAGCGTCGGCCTACGGATCCCTATGTGGTGGGTTCGAATACCGGCCGAGGTGCCCGCAATCTGACGGAGGCTTATTGCGGAGAAGACGCCGTGTAACCGAGCTTTCGGTTGCACGTCAAAAGATCCCCAGGTGGTCGAAATTAATCCTCAGTCCTCCGCTGGGGCGTGCCAGATGCCCGCCGTTGGTTTGGCACATAAACCCCCAAATTTGACTTTCTATGTGATCAGGAACAACCATTTGTGCGTACAATGATACAAACAAAATTACCATGTCACTTTCCATCATTTCTGGTCTCATCCGTTAATTTGGAACCTATGGCAACCGTAGGTTTTCTAAAAGAAGTAATCGATTCGTTTTACTTTTTATCCGCACGGCTTTCACGAGAATACCTCTCCGGTGTAATCAAAAAGGAACTTACAAGAGCATTTTTGGACACACTTTTCCCGGTCCCGCTTTATAGGGCGCTCTTTAGTGCTTGTCCGGGTCAAGATGTGCTACGTTGAGTTACAAACATGGATATTCCACCTGCAGTGAAAACTTTCTTTTTTAAGCTACACACTAATACGTTGCCCGTGCAGGTATGGATGCAACAAAAAAGGAATGTTTGTTCCGTGATCAGTCGACTGCTTGCTGTGTAAAAAACCAGAGAGTATAGAACAGGTTTTCATTAACTGTTGGGATGCTATTTTTTGGGGGACATCTTAAAGGGGCGGTGCAACAATTTGCGGACTTTGGCTAATTAATTGCGGGAAGTGATCCCGGCCACATATGAAACAAAGGACCGAAAACTATTCTTTCCTGCTTGCCATAGTTTTCATTAAAAAAAATAAAAGAAATTGGTATCTCTGGCACCCCTCAACTCAACATTGAAGCGGCACCAGCTTCGCCTGTGACGTCACTCGGAGTGGCGCTGGTTTCCGGTTGGGTTCTTCTGGCTTCCGTTTCCCCAGCGCTCGCCGGCTCGCCGCTCTCCCGCTCTCCCGTCGATTCCCGAACAACATGGCGGCATGGGTGGACGGTCTGAGCGACGTCGAGCGCAAGATGCTTGCGTATAGTAAGTCAGTTGGACTTGTGCCGTACGCGAGCACGCCTCCAAAACGGCATAGGGAACAGCAATTCTCTTCCGAGGACTCGACAGCTCCGCCTGACCCAAGTCCCGACCCAGACGGGTGGCGGCTCTCGTCGACAGCATGGTAAGAAGTGCGCGTCACATTCCTCAAATTCGCTAGGCTATTTTGAGCTAGCATTTGCCTAACGTCTATTTCGTTCCAATTACAGGTGCTCCTGTAAGCGGTGCAGCGTCATGCCCACGTCGAGGGAGTGCCTCTGCTGCCGGGAATGTCCGCCTGCGGTTGCGACTCAGCCGGAGGGGTGCGTTACCGAGCATAAGGACTTTGCCCTAATCTGCCTCCAACCTGCTGTGCTGAGGATAGCTTACTGGGCTCTGGACGAAGCAGGTCTGCAACCGGCGCCGGGCGAACAGACGTGCGTATTTGGCCTGTAATTGCTTTGAAGACAGCTGTTGCTGGCCGCCATGCTAGCTTCGCTCTACACCGCTGGTATGCACACACGATCGCAGGTTTTGAGCCCACTTCATACAGCTGAAGGACTGGAATCTTCCTGACGCCAATCCATAGCTAAACAACTGCAGGTTCGGTGTCTGCAGTAATTATGTCGCGCAAAGTACTGACATTACGAATATCTGTAAACAAGCATGCTATCTGTAGTTTTCGCTAACATCCAAGTTACCCTCTTGGAACAGCTGACGCCTGCCTTTTTTCCCCTTTTGAGGTTCTTAGTCGGTGTGGTCACCAGTGCAGGATCGAATGGTTGCAGCAACACATTCACGAAGACCACTATTATGTTCTTCCAAAATTAATACTTGAACTTGAACCATTTGAGATATCAGAACTTTTTTTATATTCTCTAAATATAGCAGTGGCCCATTTATCTTGTAGGAATTGCAAAACCTGGGGGGCAAACAAAAAATTGTGAGCATGTGAATAGCACCATTTCATAGTGTAGGGTGTTTAGTAATAAAAACTAACCGTAGTTTTGCATTACCAAAAAGCTCTGCATCACCGAAGGTAGATTTTCCAGCATGTAGCATTTTGCACATAGTGCCAATTTCGAGCTTTTACAATTTTACCAAAATTTTTAACAATGAAAATTTTACCTGCCGGTAAAATTTTCAGCAATTCAGATTTATCAATAAACTCATAATTTCGATGTGCCAATCACTCCCTCTCCCCCCCCCCCCCCCCCAGACACACACAAAAGTATTTGACAATTAATGGTTTGATCAGCGCGTAAAGTCAGTGGTCCTGCGAAAATGCCAACCCACTTATGTTTCAAATTTCGGTCAGGACAACAGGTCATTGTACTTTCGGGTCACAACAAAAGTCACTGTTTATGTTTCCAGTTTTGGGTCATATTACTTCCACTTTAGAGGGAAGGAGAGGTTGTGGTTTCGTAACGGTGAAAGCTATGGACCATAGAAATTGCATAAAGCGGGGAAGAGGGACACTTGAAACTTGTCTATTACTTCCTTTACTACTCTACCTCCCACAGTAGGTTGATAGAATAGTATTGTCAGTAGTAATGGCACTAATCAGGGGTGTGACATCTGTGCCAATTGCACCATTTTGATACAAACCGAATTTTCTGCGCTTAGTTGCGCCAAAAACGCAAAATCTGTCGAAATTGCGCCACACTGTGCCAAAGTAAATAAAAATACTTTTAAAAAAATGTCTGCGGCGACGCTAGATTTAGCTGGAAACGAGAGCTTGGTTGGCAACATCCAATTTCGTCATAGAAAAGTACACAGCACATGTACAAGGTGGTGCAAGCAGCCGCCGGATTCGAAGATTTCAGCTGTAGTACCGTTCTCCACCTCTGATACGTGGTCGTTTTCCGATTTTCCTACTATTTTCCGCTGTCATTTGTGCCTGCATGCTACCGGTGCGCTGTCACGCGGTCTTGCTGTCTAACCGCGAGCACAGGCTATCAAGATTAGCAAGTATTTCTTTTGTTTTGAGAGTAGACCTTTTCTTAAAAGTGCTATTAAGCACCTCCATTGAGTAATTGTTCATTTGTGTCCGTAATCTTCTCGTCAAACGGACGGTGCCGTCGCCGTGAGTACTTTCGGTCGTGCTTCCAGTGCGTGAACAATCGAATGAATCGGTCACACACTTGTATTTATCGTACATGTGCTGCTCATAGATTTTCTACCGTCTGGTTCTAGTAAACTGTGCTTCCCTGTTCATGCTCTCGAATCACCGCTTTAAAAGGTTTTAAACTACAATTGCGCTTTGGCACCAGTTCGTATAAGCTTGAGGTACACCTGGTGCCCACCTAGCTTTGCAGCAAGCCGGGGTTTTTGTCCTCATCTATGTGCATTTGACTCGCATTTGCCTTTTCCGTTTTTTTTTTTGATATATTTTATTTTTCTGTGTATCGACGATTATGACTTACTGGAACCAGGGTAGAAAAAAAATGACGATTAAAAAAGAAAAATCAAATTTATCTGATTTGAATCAGATTTTTGATGATTTAAATTGCTAATAAGCTGCTCTAACATTTTCTGCTCTTAATCTGCTCCAAACTGTAGGCTTTTCTGCTCCGAAGTTGCTCCAAGATGCATAAACTGCTACTCCAGAACGAGAATTTTGTGCTCCTAAGCTGCTCCAAAATCCAGATTTTTCTGCTCCAGAAATTGCTCCAAAACCTGCTTCACCTGTCTCACCCCTGACCAATGCCAAATACAACTGAAGAAAATACTAACACAGTCGCCTTTCTTTTTTTTTATCCAGTATACGTTTACACTTGGATATTTCTATTTATTTTTAAGAAGAAACACTGCGTAATCACACACTGAATTCCGGAGGATGGGGAATCAAACAGAAATAACCTCCGAAAAACACCCTCCAAATTTGAAGAAAAATAAAATCCGAAAACACGGAACCCTATTTATGATCATGCATGTGACAGTGACATTACTAATATTTGGTTCTTGTTAATTTCACAGACTTCGCCTTGTGGCGTACAAGCAGTTTACGCGCTGGATGTGGAAACGGCTGGGGCGCAACGACAGAAGAGTTCTGCCAGCCTGCGTGGTTTCAAGAATTCGCGAAGAATTTGCTTCAGACTCATACACCGGGTACCTGGACGCTGAATAAAGATGTTTGAAACTCTACTACAGCTGAGCACCTTTTACACCTTACAATTCTCTTGCATGCATACTGTAACTCAAGCCACTCCAAGAGCAAATCCTGTTATTGAAGCAGCTTGATGAATAAAAATATACTGATGTTTAGCGATCAAAGCCATTTTGTTTCTGTGCTCCGCAAAATAATGTGCCTTTCCTAGTGCTGAGAGCTTCCTGCATAAACCCTACAAAATGTAGCTGCCCACCCTATGCTCCTCTCAATTACATTTGATGAGTGATGCTTAATATGCTTGATGATTGATGCTAGCACCCCTCTCACCAATTCATGCTTTATTTCACCCTATATATCGGATGAGCGTCCAACATGCAGTATGGTGTTGGACGCTCATTCAATATCCAACAAACAAAAGTGGTGGATGTGCAAAAGGTGATATGATAGGCACCTAACACAGTTGAGACTTCCAAAGGGCATATTGCTCAGAACCCAACGAGGCTTTGGAAAAATGAAAACTCGCACAGAGTATGGCTCTCTATTACATTCAGGAAAATGCAGGAAGTTCTGCACATCAAGATGGGATGGTCATCGAGTCAACCAGACATTCCTGGTTCCATTCCCAGATTTCACGGAAGACATAAAGATTGTGCTTGACTCCTTTTCACAAAATTTCGAGATATGTGTTATGATCTCTCTATCAGTTTCATTGGTGAAAACGCCCTGCCAGCAGCTAGACTTGTTTTACTTCGGGGAAGCGCCCTGCCAACAGCAGGACTCCTTTTACTTCGGTTCTTGATGTTATGTCTGCTCCTGGAGAAATACCGACGCTCCGGTACAGCGCGGGAACGGACATAGAGCTGTCGCACGGTGCACCCTGCGGGAGCTTGGAACGTCGGGTATCCTTAGCTGAGCCGCCGTGACTTCCTCACACGAGCCATCTCAAGCATACATATTCCTTATACCAATAAATAAGTTCTCATTTAGGAAACCCCGACTCGGGTCATTCCTCTAGCACGAGGCTGCAAGCCCCCGACACGGGCAACGAGAAGTTGGATCGAAGAATGGATGTAGTTTTGAGGTCGAGGCCATGGCTATTGGGGCATTGCAAGGTGTTGTCGAGCAATTTTAGGGCAAGGACTGAGCATTGTAATTCAAACAACTCTGTTTTTACTTCTTGGCAAGCGACGCCAAAAATCAACAAAAGGAGCACGCGCTCCACCTCACACTGTGTGGCTCAACCATCGAAACGGCTTGTGCGTCAGTTGCACCGAAGGCCTTGGATGAAGTCAGCTTCGGTGACTTAGCGACACTCCTACAGAAGCACTTCCATCCAAGACCACCTGAGCTTTACAGCCGGTATGTCTTCCAAGGACGCAACCGATTGCCAAATAAGACTCAGCAGCTGCGTCACAGCGTTCAAACGACTGACAGCTGACTGCAATTTCGAAGGGCTAACAACGACGACTGCAGCATCGGTGTTGACACAAGAAGCCAGAACGTTAATTTCACAAACGAACCCCACTATGCTGCCACAAGGTGTCATGCTTTGGGACAGATTAGTCTGCGACATCTGTGACGAACACATCCAACAAAGACCGTTCACTGAAAAAGAGTCAACTTTTCAATGTGATCTGGAAATCTCTCTCTCAGCAGTGGTGTGATCGGCAGTCCGACCCACTTCAGTTCAGGCAACCATGAAGGACATTCACGGGCTGCTTCATTTCGTGCTTGCGCCGACCGAGTCAAGTGTGTGCGCATGTGCGTGTTGTGCAAAGCAGCAGCGTGTGCCTGACGATAGGAAAGTTCGCAGCTTAGGGACAGCCAACCTTGACGGACGCTAGATGAAGGCCACCGAGAATCACGTCACCAAGATGGGATGGTCATACAGAGTCAAATAGCCATGTGAAAAATTCCACACCTAGCAACTCGCCGGCATGACCTCAACAAGGGGCAAAGAGCCCGGGTGTTACAAAAGACGCGGCCCAGCAAAACATCAAGAAAAGCGTCGAGGCCAACTGATGTCAACAGCAGCCTTGAAAGAAGGAGAACGGAGGGGGAATTCCCCGTGCATAGCGGCCTCGGCTGGCGTAGATTGCCGAGCGCACGTGTCGACTTGGGGGAGGTCGAAGGGAAAGCGGCGCCTTTGTACCTTGCTACTGCTAGCGTCAGCTGCCGGATGAATGTTATGCAAGAAGCTGCTTTCAGAAGGAGCAGCAGCCTCGCCGCTGAATTTCATCAATACACGATGTTACTATGAACCCTCCTCTCCCGCGGTGAACTCTTTCTCCTGCCGGCTGCTCTGTCTTATGAACAAGTGCCGCAGGGCGGAGAGGGAAGAGGGAGTGATCTCTACGAAGGGAAGAAGCCATTCGTTGTCCACATGTTCTCCAGGCTTGGCACTCGCTTCCTGAATATGATATAATCATTGGACTTCGTGGTAGCGGCATTCATCTGGTGGTGGAGAGATGAGTCACCGCGACGCTCTCCAAACTGCAGGAGGCGGAGCAGGGACTCTGGTGAAGACGTTGACGGGGCACTGCCGTGGAAGAGCTACGTCTTTGTTTCATCACGGCGCCATCAACTTCGTGGAAGAGCGCCGTCGAGATGAGAAGGGAGTCTAGGCGTCGGACAAGAAGCCGAGTCTTCATTCAGCTAGACAACAGCGATTGGGTGAGACAGTGGGTGCGCCAAGAGCTGCATTTTCAAGGCCGAAACGTCGGGAAGCAACTGGGAGATTTTGTGCAGTGATACAAAGAAACTCTGTGGTAGAACTCGACAGGGGGCGTCAAGTTGGACTCCGTCAAGCTACCAGGTGTAAGTATTGTATATAAAGCTTTCTTCGTTTTCAGTTTCCCAAAGTCTCTGCCATGTTCCTTCGGGTGGCCTATAGGGTTAGGCTTCACCCCACACCGATTGCTACAAGCAGAAAGTGCATCCACTGCAGAAAGTACAGTGCAGAAAGAGTAATAGTGACAACTGGCACGAGGTTTCAACCTGCAAGGTCAAGACAGCCAAATGCTGATACCGCTTCAAGAAGGGCTACATTGAAAAGGCAGGCGGAAAGAGAACAACAAAGAATTGCATCCCAATGCCAAGCAAGGCACGCACAGTGTTAACATACCTCTTTTGGACACGTCGATCATGGAGTCCCCCTACAAATTGCACGTAGCAAATGGACGATAGGTGTGTCTTAAATTGTGGGGGAGTCCCTCTACAATTCGAAGTCTACACCGGTGCAGCCTGCTCTTTGATTAGCGAAGTGGAATACAACCGAATGCGGCCAAAACATTCCCCGGAGTTGTCAAAAAAACCAGGTCGAGAGAAGATCTATGTGTTCTAGGCTCTGTGCAAGTTTGCGTCTGAACTTGACGACGAAACTGCTGCTGTCGTAACTGTCAACACCACCAAGGGACTGTTCAAGGTGAAACAGCTTCCGTTTGGAACTTACGTTGCACTGGCCATCTTCCAGCGCATGATGGCTACCACACTGGCCGGAATCCCTGGGGTGAGTGTTTACCTTGAAGACATCATTGCCAGCGGGAAAGATGCCCTTGAGCATGCAAAACGTCTAAACCAGGTTCTAACAAGGCTGAGCAAGGCATCTCTGTGCCTCAAGGAAGAAAAGTGCCGCTTTGGCATACAGCCGGTTGAGTTTCTAAGACTCAGAATTGATGCTAATGGTCACACACCACTGAAAAGGTGCAAGCTATCCTTCAGGCACCCAAACTAACCAACAAGACAGCTCTTCCAGCTTTCCTCGAGCTTCTCGCATTCTACGACCGTTTCTTGGAAACTAGAGCGACTGTTGCCGCAGAGCTGTACAAGCTCGCCCGTTACGATGAGACAAAGCCACTTGTTCTGTCGGCAGATGTGTCACTGTATGGAATCAATGCCACGCTTGCCCAGGAAAATGAAGTTGGCAGAGAGGCTCCCATAGCTTTCGCAATGCTAGCCCTGGGGCCTGCAAAAAAGGTTACTTTCAGCTCGACAGTTGCTTGACCGTAATTTTCGACGTAAGTCATTTTCATCAGTACATTGCTGGCCGACAAGTGCCCGTTATAACAGATCACCAGCCTCTTCTCTTCACCCAGCAGGCTGCCGCTTCTGGCACAGGTCTACGAGCCCTGTTCCCCGGCAGACATTCTCATGTTAGCCTACACACCAAGATTCAAACTGTCGCCACGTCAACTCGCAGAAATGACCTGACACAATCCAGTATTGTCGCGGGAGTTAGCAGTTGTTTCATGGGGACAACTACATAAACTGCCAAAGCAACAGTTCTCACGGTATTGCAAACTCGGAACAGAGCTTTCTGTGCAAGAAAACAGTCTCATCAAAGGCTCCAGAGTGGTCATTCTCACAAAGGCCAGGAAGGAAGTGCTCGACCTGGCACGTACAGGTCACAGAGGAGTAGTAGCCATGAAGGCACGTGCATGAGGTTATTTTCCGTGGCCCGGTGTCGACAGTGACGTTGAAAGACTTGCTAAAAGCTATGTAACTTGTCGGCAGCTCTAGAAGGCACCACCCAAGGTGCCCTTCCCCGACTGGAACCGCGCGACGAAACTTTGGCACACAATTCTCGCCGACTTCGCCAGCCCCATGGAAGGAAAGATGCTACCACTTGTTGTCGACGCGTACAGCAAATGGTTAGAAGTATGCAGCATGCTCAACGTACAGTCAGTCACACTCAATGAGGAATTGGGGAACCTTTTCGCATCCCTGAAATGATTGTGACGTAGGACCGTCCTTTGTTTCGTCATATGTCAAAGCCTTCCTCAAAAGAAATGGGGTCACATATATTACAAGTGCCCCGTACTATCCCGTTAAAAATGGACAAGCAGAAAGAATGGTTTTGGAAACGAAGCTGGCATTGGCGAAAAACCAGACCGCCACGTTTTCATGCTGGTTGGTAAGATTCCTGCTAAACAGCACACAACAGTCTCCACCTCGACAGGCAAGACAGCAGTCGCGCTCATACGCCTACAGCCCCATGAGACTGAAAGAATGGCGTCCGACTGCCGTGCAGAGAAGTCATTGAGAGGAGTTGCCGTAGCGCAATCCATTCTCGCCTGCAACTTCAAGGGAAACCCTGCTTGGATGGAGAGAACAAGAACTAAGAGATTAGGACACGGGTCTTGGATGATAAAGTGCAAGAACGGAGCGGTTCGTCAAAAACTGGATCACATTAAACCCGGTACACAGAAGTACCAGACAGAGAAACCTTCATCAGCGCCTTGTCCCGTCCTTTTTTTTTTCTACTTGTCCTTTGCACTCTTGTCTCCTATAATTGAGAACCCTTGTGGGGAACAATGAGCCTCACGGCACGCGGAAGGGCGGCGCCGAGAGCGGGGAAGAAGAAGAAAGGAGAGGCTCGTGGTCGGTGCGAGGCTGAGGTTCGAAGGACGGTGGGCCAACAGGATAGACGGTGCTGAGGAGCCTACAAAGAGCCGGACTTCACGAGCCAAGCAAGCACCCGGACCTCAGCGAGCCCAGGAAAGACCCGGACAACACCGAGCACATGAGTATCAATTAAACCTTGCTTAATGATAGCGCTCCCTCGTATGACTTCCTTGGGGCGAATGGAACTCGGCCTGATCGGGCGATATTGATAGGCGACCCACATAAATGGCGCTTCCAACGTGGGGCCCGATCAGTCTGCCGTTGTTTCTTTTCGCTCCCAGGGAGTCCCACGAATCGCGATTTCTAAATTTAGGTTTGTTGTGTTTCCCCATTTGAATTTTTGTTACTCCGCTGGACATCAGTGTTTAACGTTCTGCCGCCATGTCCAGGTTACGGAATAAGGCCGCCCATCCCGAGGCCTCAACTCAGTCAGTGGCGGATATTGACTCGGACGTGGGAGAAGGCACGAGTGGGGAAGCGAGCGTTGCGGCAGCGCTAGAACCCCCAATTCCGGCGGTGAACACAGGAGACGTTAGCGAACTAATGCACGCCATGACGGCGATGTTCGCGACGTTTTCTAGACAGATGGGTTTGGCCCCAGGGGTGGTGAATCCCGCGCCTACGCCCGTGCCTCGCCCGCGGTTGAGCGTGCCGACGCCGACCTATTCGGGCTACTCCGACGCAGCATCGGTTCACGATTTCTTGCAGGACCTAGACGCGTACATTGCCGCGTTGGGCGCGTCGGATGAAACGGCCCTGATACAGATCGTCCCAATCGCGTTGACGGATGACGCAGCGCGTTGGAGGCGAATGCAGAGGCCGTTCCTTTCGATGGCAGATTTCCGGACACGATTCAGAGAGGAATTTCTGCCTCCCGACTATGCGATGCGGATCAGAGATGAGCTAGCCAGCCGTACTCAGCATCCGGACGAGAGCCTCGTAGAATACATCCGCGCTCTCCAGGAGCTCTACTCCAGAGCCGACCCTACAGCGTCAGATGCGGAGAAGGTAGCTAGGGCGATCCGCTAGTGTCACCCTAGATTTAAACCCTACTTGCGCGGACGTGATTTCGCTGATCTGGAAGCACTTGCCAGAGAGGCGCGCATCGTTCAGGCGAGCTTGCTCGCCGAGTTGACGTATCGCCCCCCTCCACGCGCAGAGGAATCTCTGGAGCCGGGTTGCGCCTGGACAGGACGAGGCGCGGGAGCTTGCGACGACTCACGTACGCCGTACGTGGCCGTTACAGGACATAGGAGTGGCGAAACTGCTGTGCCCCGCGCCTTAGATCCCTTCGCTTTTGAACAGAGGCGCAGAGCAGCTAACGCGGGCTCTTCCAGGGCGCATCCCCCTAGGGGAGGCGGCGCAGCCGACCACCGCGGAGTCGCGAATCATTACGAGGGTAGCGGGAACTACAATGACCCCCGGCGCGACACTGCTTCGCGTGATGGTAGCGGCGGACGCTCAGCACACAATGGCAGGAGACAGGTCAGGTGCTATAAACGCAATCAGCTTGGGCATATCAAGCGTCAGTACACATGGACGGCAGCTCTCCCCCCATGGGTCTCAGGGAAACGGGAGAGGCCGGCGCCACTAATTGGACTTCCCGACTCGCGGTTGCCGGCCGCTGCCGAGGCCCCTCATCAGTCTGCCAAGGGGGCTGGAGTTGCGGTCAGCGACAGGTCGGCGTTTGCCCCGTCGGCATGTCGGACTCAGGGTTTGACATCTGAGAAGGGGCCGTACGTGCGCGTCGAGATCGGTGGTAACATTTACTACGCACTAATTCGGCGTCGGTGCTTTGTTATTGCAAGAACATGACGGACACCTGCGCCCGGTGGCATTCGCCAGCCGAACCCTTACACTGCCAGAACGCAATTACAGCGTGACGGAGAAGGAGGGGCTGACCGTCATGTTTGCTCTAAAGAAATTCGACCTGTATTTAGACGGGACCACCTTCGTCATTCAGACAGACCACGCCGCTCTCACCTGGATTCAAAGGTTCAGAGAGCCGGCGGGGAGGTTAGCTCGGTGGGCACTCACTTTGCAGCGATACTCCTATACTGTCGAGTACCGAAAGGGCTCCACCAACAAGGTTGCAGACGCACTTTCTCGGGCGCCCCATGATAGTGGTTGGAAGGAGGAGACGCAGCCAGGGGATTGCGAGAGACGAGCTTCCTGCGCGGCCGCTCATAAGCGAGACAGCGGGAAGGGATCGATGCAACAGGAGCTCGTCGCAGTGTTAGGAGGCCGCACGAGGGAACAGAGGATCGTGGCTTGGGGTGAAGTGGTGAGCAAGGAAGAGCTTGTCGAGGCCCAAAAGGCAGATGGTTTTTGTCAGCGGGTGTTGGGGAAAATTGCGGAAATGGCAAGCAACACCGGGAACGCTGGCGGTCAATTTAACGAACATATTGATTCATACCTGCTGGGTCAAGACGGCTTATTGCTCCGCTACATTCCAACAATCGACGACGAGGAGGGGAACGACTCTCCGTTCAGGGTGGTGATTCCTAGAAGGCTACGGAGGCGGTTTATCGGATACTTCCACGACTCGGCTTTGGCTGGTCATGGCAGCGGCAGCAAGACTTTTCAAAAGTTATGTCGCGTCGCGACCTGGCCGGGGATGAGACAGGACACACTCCGATACGCCCGTAGCTGCCCAGCCTGCCAGAAAGCGAAGCCGCGAGGGGGAAAGCCCCCAGGCCTGATGCAGCCTGTAGTGAGTCACTACCCGTGGGAGATGGTTGCTTGCGACATCATCGGCCCACTTCCAAAAAGTCCCCGTGGGAACCAGTATTTATTGGTAATAACCGATCATTTCTCGAAATGGGTGGAGTTACACCCGCTGAGGAAGCTGGTCTCGGAGCGCATCTGGGAGAAGTTGTTGGAAACTTTCATGCGCTTCGGTACACCCACGTGTCTCATCAGCGATAATGCTAGCTATTTTACCAGCAGAGTGTTCACTGACTCCTGCTTGGCGCTAAACATAAAGCACAAAAGGACGACACCATACCACCCTCGGACTAATATCACTGAGAGAGTGACCCGAAACTTGAAGAGCATGCTGATCACACTAACGGAGAGACACAGGGACTGGGGCGAACGCATTGTCGAGATGGGTTTTGCAATCCGGACGACCGCGAACAGTGCGCGAACCCGTCGGTGAGAGATCTGATAGGGGCTCTGCGCGGCGCTATCATCTGCGGCCTAGAACTTGATCTAATCTCTGCAAGATGTTAATAGAGCTTGTTCTGTCCAGAAATGCCCCCCCGGAGGGACCAGAATGGGCGGCGCCATCCAGGAGGGCGACCTTCCACTTCCCGGGGTACCGGCGGAACCAGCCAGACCAGCCGACCGGGTGGCCAACCCGCTCGGCAGGAGACCGGCCACACCAGCCGACAGGGTGGTCAACCCCGTTGGCGGGAGGACGGCCAGACCAACCGACAGGGTGGTCAACCCGGTTGGCGAAGAACAAGGGGGACCAACCAACAGGGTGCTCAACCCGGTTGGCAGAGGCGGGGTGATCAACCCTGGCCTCGATCACATCAACAGAGGCAGGGCGGCGGAGATGCGGAGCACCGGAGAGCCTCGAGTGACCAGGCGGGCAGACGAGACTCCACCCCACGAGGAGAAGCGATTTCGACGGCGGCTGGAGAACCAGCCCGGCGCAAGCCACCTCGCCACACCGTGGCCACCTGGACGGCCCAGGACGGCCAAGAGGCCGTCCACTTCGTGTCCAGGGTGCGATGGAGGAACCAGCCCCGTCCAAACCCTTCCCAGCTGCCCGCCCAGATCCCGCAGCCCTTCCGAGGGCATACGCTGCCCCGTTTTTCGCTACCCGACGATCACCCAGACGCCTGCTGGCTGTGCCAAGTCCCGGTGGTCCACCAGGACACACACGAGGCCAGCCGCCGACACACTGACCTCCTGAAAAACATGGGCCGCCCCGCCGGCGTCGCAGCAGCAGTACAACTGCTTCGCCGGGATCGGCCAGACCTTCTAGCTCCGGCGGCTCTCGGCTTCAGCCAAGCTACTGGAAGCCGGAGTCCTGCCCCCGACCAACTGCTCGTTGACGGGTTCGTCGCCGAAAACCCGGCGCTCGGCCCCTTCCCCAAGCACACACCGGCCCCACCAGTGCCGGCCCTCCGTTCGACAACTGCGGCCCCATCCGCGTCCACCAACACCAGCGACGCGGAGATGAATGAGCTGGAGGAGTACTTGGCCAACAATCCAGCGACCCCTTATGCTACCAACGGGCCAGATTCTTTCGTCGACGGAGCCGCCGCCGAAGACCCGGCACTCGGCCTCTTCCTCGAACACGCACCAGTCCCACCGGTGCCGGCACCCCGTTCAACGGCTGCGGCACCATCCGCGTCCACCACCACCAGCGACGCGGAGATGGGCGAGCTGGAAGAGTGCTTGCGGACGGTCCATCGACTTAGGATGCTTCGGAACCCCCGGAGTTGGAGGCTTGAGGGGAGGGGAGTGTGGGGAACAATGAGCCTCACGGCACGCGGAAGGGCGGCGCCGAGAGCGGGGAAGAAGAAGAAAGGAGAGGCTCGTGGTCGGTGCGAGGCTGAGGTTCGAAGGACGGTGGGCCAACAGGATAGACGGTGCTGAGGAGCCTACAAAGAGCCGGACTTCACGAGCCAAGCAAGCACCCGGACCTCAGCGAGCCCAGGAAAGACCCGGACAACACCGAGCACATGAGTATCAATTAAACCTTGCTTAATGATAGCGCTCCCTCGTATGACTTCCTTGGGGCGAATGGAACTCGGCCTGATCGGGCGATATTGATAGGCGACCCACACCCTTCATCCGGTGACATGAGCAGGGAACCGGTACCAAGCCAACAACACACTATACTGGCTCTCCATGTTCTACAGCCACCACCGGATACCCTTGCCTCGTACAGGAAAGGTCGACAAACTACGCCCTAATCTCAAGGAAGCGCATCCACATGTTCAGACTCGAGAGTCGCAGCGCCTTCCAAAGAAGGAGAAAACAAGACAGCTGCGATAACAACTGCGGTGTCAAGATCCCAACGAGAAGGGTGCCCACCGGGGCTTTACGTGACTCCATGTATGGAGGAAGGAATGTTATGTCTGCTCCTGGGGGGGGGGGGGGGGTGGGGAAAGACTGATGCTCATGCACCTCACAGGAATGCACATAGAGCTGTCGTCTCACAAACCCTGCACCCTGTCGGAGCTCGAAAGATTGGGCATCCCGAGCCTTACGGGGACTGCGTCTGGTGGGGGAGAAGTGCACCCGGTGGTCTTCTTGCGAACCGGCTGACCCTCGCTGCCACCAGGTCTTCCTTCGGTGGCCTGTCGGTGCTCTGGTTCAGGCAGGGCGGGTCTGGCTTCTCCGCATCGAGCTCAAAGGCTTGTCTCAGAGACCCCATCTCCTCACAGACCACCACAGCCTGAGCCAGGAGCTTGGTGACGTAGCCTGCAGAATCAAATTTTAACATTAAGCATTTTTCCAATGGTAGCACTTAGATAACAATGTTACAATGCAAAAAAGGCAGGACCAAGAAACAGTGTTCGCGCTTAGGGTAATTTGTGTTCAGAATATTCTTTACAATGATAAACCGTAACAGGCATCAGTATTTTTTTTGTTTGCATGCCCTGATGTCTGCAAAAAGAAGTTTGGAAGGCTGACATCTCTTTCCCTCCTCAGCTATCCATTTTTTTTTCTTCAAAGAATAATCAGAGTTATCAATTAAAAAATAATAAAATAAATGTGTATCATTTGTGCATAGATAACTAATTTAGTCTTCCTAAGAACAACAAAAAGATTCCAACCCACAAAAATGGTGAAGTTGAAAAAACGAAAAAAAAAAACAACCATGAAACCAATACAGAAGTGAAAATTGTACATCACAGAAAATGCACGAGTATGCCTCAGTAAGACAAATGCATGAACGAGAAAAGGAATATCTGGTTCTCAGCTGGCTGTCATGGTTCATCTAATAAAACATTAATTTAGATACTCTCACAGTAAATACCGTACTCATGTATAAGCCATCCTCGTGCGTAACCCGCACCCCCCCCCCCCCCCCTTTGTGATGAAAAAATTTAAGAACAAATTATAAATATCCCGCACCCGTGCGGAATAAAAAAAAAGTGGTTTATACATGAGTATATACTACATCAAAATGATTAGTGCGCTAAATATTATTTACAAAGTGTACATATTAGCTAGTCACTTGGTACGGAAATTGATCTGATAATGTTGCCATTAACTTGTAAGCATCACAGGTAGAAATGTTTTTTTTAGATTACCATATGTGGCCTTCGTTTTCTCGGGATGAGCAGCATGGTGCCCTTTCCTGGCTTTCGGGGACTTCAGCTTCCACTGCTTCTGACCGGCTTGGGTGGTGGCCTGCTCCCGGTTGCCATTTTCGTTATAGTGGAGCGCAGCTATGCGGGTCCTGCATTAGAAAATGTGATCCAACAAGGTATGGAGCAGATCCCAAAAGTGGTGTGTGCCTGCTCGCTGCCTTTGTCAGCACTTCACAACCTGTGCATATTTAGGTTTACCCCAGCAGTGAGGATTGCTAGTCCTATGGGAATCTTTGTTCCGCCAGCTTTCTGTAGCATTGAATAATTTTATACTCTGTTCTATCTGCTAACAGCTACAGTTGTGAACTGGCAGTATGTTATAGCATAGAAGACACCAAAATATAATGTCAAATAGTGAGAGTTTAGTGATCCTTATGGGTCACTTCACAACAAAAGAAAATGGAGTTTTAGAAATTTTATTTTAAAATGGTAAGCAGTGCACCAAAATGCATGTCACACACATAGATGGAACTTCCATTTTTGCTATGGAGCAACACCTCGGAATTCTTTTCTGGATAATTCATTCATTTACATACCTGGCAAGAATGCCTTTTGGGCGAAATGCAGCCCACTTTGGTGCAAAACCATTCAGCACGCTATGGAAAGATTCCAAAGCGTACGTCTGGGTGTGTGGAGACAGTTGGCGTAGGTCCTTGAGCAAGGACTTGCTCGTCACCACGTCAACGAACCGGGCATGCGCAGGCGTGTCTAGAACAAAAAGAAAAAACACGACCAAGGTTTGCTGTGGAAAAATTTAGTTGATTCAGGTTTTGTATGTTCACCTAAAAATCTTTGTAAATATTATCGTATTATACTTCTTAAAGGCCATCTCCTTTGCCATTTACACTCTGTAGAACACTGAGAGATATGTGAAACACTTATTCACCTGGCACCAGCCATTCGCCTTCTTCGATGGGGTTGTGGAAGCATGTGGTGTAGATGCCAGGGTGGTCTGTGTGGATGTTGACCACGTGCCTGGTCATGCTGCACCAGGCATCCACGAGAAGTTCAGCGTTGCCCTGGCTAGCTGCGGCACACCAATACAAGTGGTTCACTGCTGGTTGGGCCCAGTCAGCAATCGACCCGCAGTCCTGGCTCTTGCCTGCAGCATTGAGGTTCTTCTTGACGCCTGCAAATTGACGAGTGCACAAAATCAGCTGTAGTCTGTCTTTTTCCAATATCCGGTCTACAAGAAAACATTCACCACCTTACACAGAACGCATATTCACGCTCTTTGTGAGAGATGCCTCAGATCATTGGACTTGAATTTAAGTTTATTATTTCATTTCGACTTTCATTACCAACTGCCATGCCAGAACAGGGACAAGCAATATGAGAGAAAAGGGCACAGGTGAAGATTGGTATCGCTGCATAGTTTTTACCCTATTCTGAACACAATCTGTTCGTAAAGCAAGCCTTAAATGACGATATAAACAATAATTACAATTCTAAATGTAAAGTAAATATGAATATAGTAGTGCTTTCTCTCAAATTTAAAACCACTTCAGCTTTTCTTTTGTAAAGCCCTACAATGAAAAAAATATATATCATCACAACAAAATGTAAATGCCTATAGTTATTCTAGACAAACAGTAGTCGCCGACATACCAAGGACACCCTGTTAGAAAGGTCTCTTGTGTTTTACATTCACACTTGCTGACAAACTTGTCTTTCTGTCAACAAGCGAAACGTTGCTCGAATCGAGTCAAGCGGAACATTGCTCGAGCCTAGCTTTCGCCAATTTGGCAAGCAGCGTAGACTGGCGAAGTTGAAGAGGATCATAACATGTGATATTTACTTTTTGAAACGTGCCATACGTCGAAGTAGTGCAGGATGGCCGGTTCTTTTTCCCGCATGTGTTTCCCGATGGAACAGTGCCCGTCGGTGGCCAGGGACTGCACAGTGAGCTGGTTGTCCCTTGTGAAAGCAAGGGACCGCACAAGACCTTCCTTTTCCATGTGCCCGCTGCAGCGCACCGCTTCGCACTGCAAAGTTTCCGTAAAGTGGCGCAAGTAGTTTTTCAGTTTCTGCAATGATTATCACATATATTTTACATATTCAAGTATTCTGCCGCCTCACATTTTCTGAACTATTTGCTTTCTAAATAAAATACCTTCTGACATCTAGCTTTGGACAGATATCTCATTTCACAGCTTGGCTCCAATTTTAGACCATTGTCATGTTAGTAAGACAGTGGATCAGATAGACCTGCTAAATTTCCTTCTGATATTTATAGACCTACACGCTGTTTACAAACAAGCCTGTGTTGGCCGACACCAGGTGTGGGCACAGTGTGTATGCAGAAACAAAATTTGCGTGAAGTAAAGCGTTTGCACATGCGCAGTGCCGTCGACAGCGCCACCGCAGCTGCGTGATGTCAGGGCTGCGTGTTGGTCTATAGCCAAAGGTGTAGAAATTGATTCAAAGGACAGGATAGGTGTGCAGGAGACTGCAGGATGACCATAATACCAGACATGAAATTGTAACTATTTCAGATAAACCCGGACTACAGACCCCAGCGAGCATTTTTTATAATCACAGTGATTGATCAAAAGCCATGGAGCTCTGTTTCTTCCACAAGAGCACTGAATGATATTGCTCGGCCGCAAAATGTGTCAGTATAAATAACTAGGTGTAGCTGAAGGCTTCAATATGCATCTGATTACGAAGCTACTGTAAGGAGGTGGTAGTAATCATTCCTCACCTCTCCAACCTGAATTTGCTCAAAGTGCAGGATCTTGTTGACAGAGGGCACGTGCAGGGAATACGTTAGGTATTTGGCACTAAAGCCAAGAGAGTCACACCTCCCATCACCAGCGAGGTCGAGGGGCTGGTCACGGAGCTCTTCCATCAGCTTCTCTTGCTCGTCTCTCCACACCTGTGAAAATTGATACTAAAATGTGCGATAATGACATAAAAAGTGCAGTGAAACACTGCATCGGGAGAAAAAAACATGTGAGATAATGAAAGAAGTGGCATCATATTCACCTCTTCAACAGCTGGGACCAAAATTGCTCGCTGGTAGTTGAAGTAGGTCTTTTTTGAGAAGACCTGGATGTTCATCAACTGGAACAGGCGCAGCGTTCTGGTTGGGGAGGCACCCGTGAAGAGCACGAGAGATGTGAGGAGCAGGTTCCCCGCCCCCCTGCCGTTGATGTACGGTTGGCTGTCCCAGCGGTTCGTGTGCCCTGCAGGGCAAGAGGTCCGTACCACGAGCAGAGTGCCAACCCCCTTCATGGAGACGTCGCAAGGGCTGTAGCAAGTCTTGCATACAGAAAACAGCTGTTCGAGGCAACTCTCGAATTCCAAGAACTTCCGCTCCTGGTACCCAGGTTCTGCACTTGTGAAGGTGTCCTTCCTGTAAAAGTTGTGAATATTTAGTGTTTGACACTCATTTCTGTGCTCAGCTTATCAACAAAAAACAGAACATTCTTGCCTTACATTGACACTGCATATTTTTTTTTGGTGTCTATATATAGGAAAAGTTTATGTCTACTTATGATTGTTAATCTTATTTGTAAAAAAATTTGCATCTCAGCTATATACACCAACTCATGTTTACAAACAAACCGGAGCGCCCCTAGCGGACGCCACCGGCGCCGCGCATGCGCGATGGGGGTGTGGGCAAAAAGCACGCCGTCGCCCATAAACAAACCATTGAAATGCGATGTCGTCGGCGTCGGTGTGAGTCCCCCTGCCCTTTTTCGCGTTCGAATTGTTTGGTGTATGTCTTCCTGGCGATGTCTGACTATCTTGAGCGGCGTCAGCGAAATTACCGAGGCTCGTTACACCGTAAAACTTCGCGTGAATAATGTGACATGTGGCGATTCATTCCGCGTGGACGCCGCAGATTGTACGCTAAAGCCTGATTCGCATGATGAGATTTCGCTCAAAATTTTCAGTCGCGACGCCGCTCGGGCTGCAAAAGCGTGAACCGCAGCTGAGATGGTCGACGACGACACTGAAAATCGCAAACAGAATCGGACCAACTGAATTAGGCATAACAAGTCGGTGTTGGTCACTGGTAACAATGACCAACATCTCCTTGTATCTACTGTTTACATCGAGCCTGCTTACCAACCTTCAAATTTAAGTCTTTTGAGGCCTTCACTCACTTCTTATCACAAGTACCGGGCCAACATTTGGTCTACGGACCGGCGTCATCTAAGAGAGCAGACGACAAGCAGAAACGTTTGAAAGAGCAGACGACAATTCAAACAATCAGGCGGCCGTTTGAACTTCAAGACGCACTGAACGTAGTCCACGGGGGGTCCGCACAACTTGACGGTTTTCTGGCGTTCATGTTGGAACAAAACAAATAAATCTGATGAACACAAGTATCCGTGAATTCAACCCAAAATGCTTCCCGCCCAAGCAATCGTTGTCCGACGACGTCTGCTTTTCCCTTTTCACGGCACACATCCAGATTCTCGGACAAACTGAGCACGTGAAAACTGACCTTCAAACCTTTCTCGACACTTTTGGTACGGCCCCAGTCGCGGCGTTTTGACGAGAAGGCAGGTTTTTGTCTGGTTCCTTTCAAAACAACTCAGGAATACACGTCTGGCATGGGGACTTCTGCCCACAGCCCCAGACCGGAAGTGCGACCGACGCGCCACCACCGCGCCGTGACGTCACAGAGTTGAGTTGGTGTATGCTGTAAGTAGATGCTTTGAACAGTGATTATCGGTGAAAACTAATTGCTTGGGGTTGTGTGAATGAATGGACACAAAAAAACACATACTATAAGGGCTGGAATTTTTTCTCGGCTCACAATACTAGAACGAGTTTTAAATTTAATTTACAATTTGTGGGCACCCTTATAAATTATTATGCTTCATGCTAACCATAATGCGGCAATGCTAGAAACTGGCAGTGTACTCTGTGTAATTACCCGTAGCGTTTTACTTTCTTTTTATATTGCTACCCTTCTCTGTGTGACAAAAACAATATAAGCATTCACCACAACGAAGGCGATTGGCTTTTTCTTTTTAACAAGGGTCATCCTATAACCACCAGTGGTTTCAAAAATGATCATACCACTTGAATCTGAACAGAACAAATAGATATTGACTATCGTAGTGGCTGACTGACTGACCAAACTCTTATGTCCCTGCCCTTCAATGTCAGTGACTTCACTCACTCCAGAAAGACAGGGTATCCGACAATTGTCTAAATAAGAACGGCTCTGACAAAAATAGTCCTCAATTGGAGCAAATAGTTTCAGAAATCTCTGCTTGTCAGTTTAGACAGATTTTGTGCCTCCGACCACGGCGGATGCATGTTCATTTCAGTTGCGGCACACTTCCCAAATTTTCTTTTGCTGTGGCCCAATTTTAGATGTTTTATTTTGTAGCTACTGTAGTTTTCAAATGATAAATTAAAGGGACACTGACACACCCCAACAAATTTTATTTATGTTTTGCCAGGCGATCGATTATGGTGTCAGAAGACTACCGAATCAATATTTTGGTACGGCGTCACATATATTTTTAATAAAGTAAAAAAAAAAACAGCTCAAAACCGAAACCAAACTAGGGAGGAAGAATAGCTATAGAGGAGGAGAAATTTAAAAGGAGTCACAAGGCTGTGCCACTTTTTTTTTTTTTCAATCGACGCATTTGTTGTTTTTTATAAGTCACAAAAAATAGATATCATATTTTTTGTCTATTTTTAGTATTTAGTGTGTGCTTTCGATGACCAACGACTTTGATTATCTTTTGTGGTTGTGTCTAAACTATAGAAAACGGCACATCACATTGGAAAAGAGAGTGAGCACGACTCAAACCGGCCAGTTCTCGATAGGCAGTTTTCGGTCGGAAGAAAATCGAATTTCGAGAATTTCGAACAAATTGTGTTCGGGGTAGTTGGGGTCTAATGTGCCATCGACCAATAAAAACCTTCCCAGGCATAAATACCCTGTCAATGTCCCTTTAAGCACTTCCATGTTCCTATAATGTCTGTTTCAAGCGAAGGAAAAACCATAATCTTACCCAACACAGCTTTCTTTGATGAACGGCTCGTACATGGGATCCTTGTCCTCGTCATCGTCCTCCTCCTCCTCCTCCTCCTCGTCGCTGTCATCGTCATCTGAAGCGCTGGGGAGTGGGATCGATGTGCTGGCACTGATGGCTGTGTCACCGCTACCATCAGTCTGGACCCAGTCACTGGTCACACCTATTGCGAAGAAGTTTGCCTGTGTGCCTGAAGAAAGGGCACAGGTATCAATATCTAACTCCTTATTCCGCCTGGGTTTGCGTAAGCTCCTGTTTCTGCTGAATGCACTCCGGCGCAAGCTCCATTTCTCAGCAAACGATGAACTTGAACAATATCTCCTGTTTGATCTGACAGCAAACAACACTTCAGTATGAAATAGAAGTTAAATACACAAAAGGTGAAGAAAACCCGGGGCTGCACATGCACACTTCGAATGTGCCGTTATATTTTGGGCTGTCATCTTGCATGAGTGAAGCTATACGCACGACGCCGTGCGCCTTGACTGGAAATGGAAAGTCTAAAAGCTACGTCGCTGCTCCTATGGTTCCCCCCCCCCCCCCCCCGCCCTTGATGTAATTACCTTGCGAAAAACAAGTTGGATGGTATTTGTAAAAAGCATGGTGGAGGCTTGAAATCAATGCGCTCTAAAACCAACACTGCCAACACCGTCCAATTTGAAGTTATCACATTAGTCTTATTTCCGTCGATGAGAAAACCTTTGCTGATGTCATAGACAGCTTTCGGCCAATCGTGGCAGGCCGACCGCTGCGACGCTTTCGATCGCTCACGATTTCATTGTCATCCTATCGATAAAGCGCACAATATCATGGCATATGGAACTAATCATGCACATATTTTAATCGTTTTAATCTCTAATCATGCACATATTTTAATCGTTTTAATCTATTTATTTATTGTATTATTTATTTATTGATACTGCAATCCCTGAAAGGGATTTTAGCAGGTGGGTATACACTTGATTGTCAAGACATGCAGGCATACAAAAGAGCAAACAAGTTGCAGAAACAAAAGAACAAATATTTTTCAGAGGGACAAAACTAATTTAGAAGGGATTCAAATAAAGACAATGATGGCTGCATAACGACACTCTCAGAAAGGCTATTCCAATCAGCTACTGTTCGCGGAAAAAAGAGTACTTGAAGCAATTATTATGCGATCGAAAAGGAGTTATTGTTAGCGCATGCCTCTGTCGAGTAGCGTAGCCTGATGAGAAGTTTATCAAATGAGACAGATCTATCCTATAATGTCCATTTATTAATTGGTACAAAAATTTTAGTCGAGAATGCTGATTTCTGAGAGATAACGACTTTAAGTTAGCTCTGGTTAAAAGTTCAGTTATAGAGGTACGTCCAAAGCTATTGTAAATGTAGCGAACTGCCTTCTTCTGCACACGATCCAGCTTGTTAATGTTTAGTTTGGTGAAGGGATCCCAAATGATGGCCGCGTAATCTAATGTAGGCAACACTATGGCTTTGTAGGTTAGAAGACGCAAGGAAGGGGTAGAAAGTCTTAGAGTCCTTCTAAGAAAATAACTTTCGAAGAGCATTTGATGTTACGTAATCAAGCTGTTTTGTCTAAGTAAGATTATGAGTGATCCATAGTCCAAGGTATTTATATTGTGTTACTTCAGATAGAAGAATATTATTAGTATTGTAAACAAATTTCAAAGGATTTCTTTTGTCAGTAATTCTCATAAAAACAGTTTTTTCATAGTTAACAGTCATTTGCCACTGCGTACACCATTCCGTGATTTTTTGAAAAGCTCTATTCAACAAAAGCTGATCGGAAGTACTAGCTATTTCTGAGTAAATTATACAATCATCAGCGTATAACCTGATTTTTACCGGAACATCGTCAACTATATCATTAATAAACAACAAGAAAAGTAGAGGTCCGAGCACAGAGCCCTGGGGAACGCCAGAGTCAACCTCTACCACGTGACGTCAAGCAGACTAATGAAGGCTGCTCCAGTTTCATGCCCCGAGTGGGCTAACGCGTCTGAGCTCGGAGTGGAGCGAAAGCTTGCGCTGGGAACCTCCTGGATCGATACCCGCCGTTTCGATCTGGATGAGTTTCTTACCGGCACGCGTTCGCGTGATCACTACTGCGTGATGTACGTTAAAAGCCCCAGGCTAGCGGCTGTACTGCACTGGCTAAATTTCTCATCTACAGCTAAGAGACCGATTACCCGTTGAGACGCATCTCCATAAAGGCTGTATAAACATACAGAGCAAACCAATTTTATGCCTGCCGACGGTCTGCTTTCCCCGCCGAGGGTCTGTTCCCACGGAAGCGTTTCTCACGGCAGGCGGCTGAGGCGGCCTCGGGATCTCAGCAGACGTCTGAACAGCTGCGTCGTGTGTGGTTGCTCGGGGACCGCAACGGCAGCAGTCCTCGCAAGGCTCACGAGGTGCGTCGCCCTCGAAGCAGTGCAGGTCATCAACCGGCTCATCACCCTGGAAAACCGAAACTTCTGATAAAACCTCTGCTGTAAATACCGTTCACGAAAAAAAAA